TTTTACAAATATCACATTACCTATAACAAGTTTAAGTACAGATATTAAAGTACAGCAAGTATTTAAAAGCAATATTTGGCACTAAAACATATTCTTATATAAAAAGCACACCTATTAATCCAAAGAGATATACATCTGTAAAATTCAAAAAACTATTGCACATAAAAATACATATTTCAAGAACTATTATGGCTTAATAAATAAAATTTTGGGTCAATCTTGAAGACCTGAGCTAAACAGTTTTTGAGATGCTGAATCATCATGCACGTGTTGACCGTATCATACACTATCTCAGTCTAAATGGAGTAAGCGGGATGCTGAATCAGCATACGTGTTCACATTAATATGTCCGTTCCGGAACCTGTCCTTGAGCTGAGTAAGGCGCTCATCCAAACGTCCATACTTCTTCTTTCTTGGGCGTGATTTTTAGATAATTACACTTACCAACTTTCTCAGTTCGTCGTCCTGTTTGTAACGCGCATCTAACCTACATCCCTGTGTCTTTCTCCAAATGCATTGCGTGTAAGTGGGAACACAGCATTTATCGCGTTCGGGCAGCTACTTCAAAGTCCAACATGGCTACTTCTGGTACCAACATCAAAATTTGAAGAACAGCATCCCTCAAAAGTGAACAACCTAAATATGTTCTGCTTTGTTTGGTAACAGTGCAAACACAAGAGGGAACATAGATCCATTGACGCTGCCGTGGAGTGTGTATAACTGGCTGAACAATCCGGGACACGAATAAAATGTTCCGTCACTGTACGTGATTGTTACCTGACAAAGTTTTCTTAGATTGTCATCAGTAGCGAATATAATAATTCGCTGGCCTTGTTGATTTGTGTCATCAGACAATAAAAATCTCTCTCCAGCTGATGTTTCCTTCCACAGGTCGTCCAGCTGTATATCTTGCTGTCGTTGTGGCAATTTCGGCAACACTTTAGCTCTACTCCTGTATAATGCGGACTTGCAAATTTCAAATGTTGGTATTTTTTATCATGTCCTCAACATCATCATCATAGTCTCTGTCACGGGGATTGCCAAGTTCCCCTTCAAATATTGCCGGGATAGCATTGACTTCATCTCGACAACGCTTTTTTAACATTTACAATAAATGAGTCAGCTGCTAGCGAAATAATATCAGGAGGATGGTTGTGATGTTGGTGCCAAATACAACTGGGATGTTATCCAGGGTTGTAAATGTTGCTGGACACTGCCGTAAAACACATCTCCAATAAACACGGTTATCCCGTCTTGTCCGTATAGCAAATTTGTAGCCAGCATGAAGTAGGTAATAGCCACCTCTACCATTCTCTACAAAGTCAACCTGTACTTGTGCATTGGCCATGGTAAAATGACTGATATATTTTCAAATTCATGATAAACAGACTTAATAGTGTGAGCAGTATTACCTACCTAAAATATAACTGTACCTGTTTACATAGAAATATTATAATAGAGATTAGTATATCTGACACAGACTATAACTGAGGTTTACTCAGTTTGTTAAGATTAAAATGTTGGCTAGGTGACATTGGGTATTTTTCAAATGTTGACTAGGTGATAAGCAATCACTGCAGTGACATACCATTATTTGGGCTTGTGTGTGTCAATGAGGTTGTTTTGATGTCTTGTCTCTGTTCTCCTTCTCTAATCTGCCTGTCAGGTAGCACACCAGCAGGTATATAGGTACACTATAGTAAGTAATAGCAATATCGGTTTATCTGACACAGCCAATAAGAGTAATATAACACCCTATCCAAGCAATTACAATCTATAATCAGATATAACATATGGCAACATGATCTTATACACATAAAAGTAAATACAACAACAACCAAGTATCCTCCAACTACCTATCCATCCCCCTCCCACAAATCGTCCCCAACACTAACCCGGTCCATACAACTAACATCTGAATAGGTCCATACATCAATCAGCACATTTCTAACACCCAGCACCTCTTTCAAACCTACAACCCCCCTCACCCCCCCAACTCCCATCCATTCTATATCCAAATCCTAGCACTAAATCTCCCCCCTCCCCTCCCCACGTGTTTCATCTTTTCCCATACTAATAATCACACTATACACTAAAAACTAGAAATGTCGGAACGAGGAGCAGAATTAAGTGAAAGACAAGTCGAGGTATCTAAGAAAGATGACATTGGTATAAGTTCAGTCAAGTATATAATCAGTGAAGAATGATGAAGAAAGGAATTCAAGGAACGGACACCAAAAAAAACAATAACAACTCAGCACATGCATGACACTAATCACTAACAACCAGTCCGTCGGATGGGACTATAAATGGTGGCCCGTGTGAGAACTGTCCAATTTCGCACGGAAAAAATCCCTCTGGGTTTTTCGAAAAAGAGCAGGCGCGTACACGCCGACTCAGAGGATAGGAAAAATTTATTCAAAATTTTAAAGGTAGGGTCTCTTTATTAAGATATTTAGAAGGACTTCCAAATTTTATACATAAACCAAATTCTTAAACCTAGGCGGGGCTGATGGGGCTGACGGCGGCACAGTACCTCACTTCCGGTCCAGAATTGGTGATGCTTCACAATGAGTGTTAGGTTAAGGCATGATTAGGCATAAGATTCGTCTCACAAAAACTAGATAGTTAATATAAATAGGATAGACGGCTCTTTATCTAATCTATCCCCCTCTTCTACTCTTTACTCCACACTTTATCCCTTCTACTCTTTTTCCTTTCTGTTCTTCGTCTGCTGGATAACCGATACATCCGGTAGTGAAGCGGACGTAAAACCTATCAATCAATCAATCAATCAATCAAGTAATAGCAAAGGGCATGCCCACTCGCGCATGACTACACACATAGGCAGGTGCCCTATTCACCTAAGTACCCATGCACAGGTAACACTGGGTATTCACATGTGAATATCACATAGGTAATCTTCTCCAATGACAAGCGTCACAGGGAAAGATTCTATCAAAATATAATCAGTCCTTACAGACAGTACAGTTGCAATAGGAGTGTACTTTATATGGTAGAGGTCAACACAGGTTCAGTGTGCTGACTTGGTTGGTTGGTTGGTTGGTTGTTTGGTTGATGGGTTTATCGCCTACATGATTTCACCCATACGGGTTTCATCTCATTGGATCTTCGCTAGCCAAGTATTCGCTTCGTATACACTCCACTTACCCTTGGCGGATATAGCCGTGTTTTCATAATTCCCTCCACTGCCACCTAGCGGATATACCGAGTTATCGCTCTTCTCACATTTTTGTTTAACCAATCAGAATGACCGTTACATACACACTCCATCGGCGTGTTGACAAAATCAAGTGTATGTCGAGGCGGAGTATAAATGACACGGCAATATGGAAACAATCCAAAGACAGCACACATATTTTCCCAGGTCATCATTTGCATGTGGCACGTCGTCAAGGATTTCCACCAACTGATATAAAACTCAAGAATTTTCCCCAAAGATCGTGCACCTATTTTTGGGGAGCAAAACACACTGACATAAACGAAAACGTGCTTCCGTACAGGGCGTCGCAATTACTGTTTTCCTTCGTCAACAGCCCTATACGTAAGACGCAATTTCATTGGATGCGAGCGATTGGCACCGCACGAAAATTTACGAAACGAACACTTGGCTTGCGAAGATGATCTCACTGACGGAAGTCGGTGTTGTGTCGGCGTTATCTGAGGTTCCGTCACATTATATAGTCGATATCTGGGACGAGTAATAAAGCAACACAACGACAGAAAATGTGGTACAGGGTAAAATGTATTAAGGACCATAACAAGTGGCAAGCAATTACGTATCAGACATAAACAAAATAGGTTATTCACTAATGACAGTATCAAATAACACCACCGACCGGGCCTCATAAATAACAATCCTGTCACAAAGTTACTGGGCACATGCTGCCTTACATTTGAACATACTAAACAGCACCGAAGATCATTGAGAACAGATAACATTGTTCATTATGTGAATCATCTTACCTCTACTACTAAGACTAGTGAAAGCGGCATTAATATTCTCCATATTATGAAGAAGATTGTATCAGAGGTCAGAATAAAAATCACAGTTTATTAAGATATGGGTGACATCCTCAACGACGCTATTCGGATAAGGTCAGTATTTCACGACATACGCTTTGCTCTATTACTCGTGATGACAAGAGACATGGTTCCACATGGGAATAATGCTCTACCGTAGGACACACACTAGTTCGACAAATATAAACAAATAGGTACATCACTGTACCAGGTACTGTGCTGTCGATCATTTTACCTGTAGCTCATTGGGATAAAAAGGCATAAATCATGTAGATCTAAATCAGAGCTTTCATTTGACCCTACAAACTCTCCAAAATTACCTGTTAGTCCCTGATTGAAAAGACATTTGTATTTGACGTGTATTTTGACTCAATAGTTCGAAGAAAAGGCAATCAATGGCCTTTACATCCAAATGACATGACATACATGTATGGTCTTCGACTTGCCGGAGTGGAGATCCCTACATTTATTCAAATGACATTTACCACTAACAGGGGTAAACTGTGTTAGTTTGATATAAATCTGCCAACACAATCATAGAATACATACAAGTTTATCTTTTTGTCAAACAAGTTTTGAGCTTTACAAATTACATCGCCTAAACAATCAAAAGATTGTACATACACTGTAACTATGTGACAATATATATGGGTATTAAAACTTCTTCAGTGAATGAATTGCCTTCACACATTTCAAGGTGACGTTATCTAAACGTGTGACTGTCTGGTGAGCATGTACATCGGGGCTAAGTATTATCGAATGGTTATCTTGTAGGAGGAAGAGCCAACCATACCAAAACAATAGATACGTAAAACATTAAAAGCCCGTCAACGTTTGCCTGTCTACTCCATTTTTTAAATTCCATCCTTCCAAACAGTTAAAGTATGTACTGTATTGGCCATTGCATATCGAAACAGCGTATTTGTGATAATTTTGTCCATACATGAAATGACACGCCTCACTGCTCGCCCTACATTGATATCACTCCCATCGATGTATGTGGTTATATGATTATGTTTCTTGACACATGCTGCGTGTGTAACGCATAGCTATGTACAATCTGGAAAAAGGAAAAGCAAGCGATAGGTAAGTGGATTTAACAAGTGTCCATATTGAAATGTTATTTTTACGAGATCATTACTGAATGTTACAGGATATGCCATGTTTTTCATAACAATAATTGGATCAGGTGTACATTTTGTATTTTGTACTATGCAGAAAACAGGTTATATAGCTTTCAAGTGTTACGGAGATAATGTCTGAATACAATATGTTCGGAGAATATAATAATACTTATTCGGAGTTATGTAAATCAACATTTACATGTATATGTAAACCGGTAACAAATTAAATCTGTTTCGGGTTGGATACAACTGTAACTCGCTATTTATATAAATACAGGTGCGCAGGTGTCGGTACGCTGTTACGCAGGTGTAGCGACCAAATTAAAAACAGTAACAACAACAAAAACACTGGCATACTAAATGTGTCTTCCAAATAAATGTATGTTGATATATACGAAGTAATACAACTAAAACATGATTTTATTGTGGAATGTCTCTATTTTGCAATTACTTCATGCGATTTACCCTCAGGAAAATGGCCCTGAGACGAATAGATCTTACATTTCGTGTATTCATTTTACCGCCTGTTTAGGGTGTGGCTTCTGGTCGCCCTACTCGGTCCCTCCCCTGGACAGGCTCCTAACTGACTCAATCAGAGCAAGGGCTAGCTACGCCCGGGCTTAAGTTGACTTCCAGCGGTCATACACCTTGATTGATTGCTGCGACTTTACGTCCTTGTTCCGGTTATAACCGAGCCAAACAAATGCATACACCTGTAGTTCATCGATATAGTTCCGTCTTATTGGGTAATGGTGAAGGCACGGCTTTTAAATAACAAAGACGGGTGACATTCAGGAGCTGAATTAGCCACGAATCGGAGCATTACTCAAAAGAAAGTGCACCAATACATTGTTTTAAGCGTCCTGTCGAAAACCTATAAAAAGCAATCTCGTTTTCAATCTGAATATTTACAGTAAAACTGGTTTACCTGTGTCAAAAACAAGTTATTCTCCTTTGAGGATTGTATACACACATATAAAGTGATGAATGAGTGGGGAATCCCTAATAAAGGTCTACTCAAATACAACTTAGTTTGTGTGAGACAGACCAGATGTACGTTATTTTCATATGTTGACATCCATCGCCGGGCGGAAGAAATTTGCAGAAACAGGAAACTTATGTCTAGATGTTTCGATTACGATTTTAAGATATGGCGGAGAAACAGAACGTAAAAAGTATGACCATGACACCACGCACATCAATAATAACACGGTTTCAACTTTTCAGTTGCCATCATCAAATCAAAAAGATGAATTAAACTCCTGGGTGTTATTTGACGCTGCGGTGACGTAGCGTCATCATTTCATTATCGAAGCAGATTTGTCGGGCTATTCCATAAGCACATGTAACCCTGCTCCGTGATTACAAAGCAACATAAATAACGATGAAAACTATTTATTTTCTGAATCAAATATTTTATGAATAAAAGAACTAACGTAGAAAAATGATAAAAGTAAAAGGAACTTGTGTCTGATAATCAACACTCGTTAGCCTAATTGTGAAGTGCGCGAACCTGTGGGTTATTCTCGTGCTGTCTGTGACGTCAGTAATATACATCTTCACTTCTTAAAAGTACTTTACGGTATATTATTTACGTTCAAAAATTAAATATGCGTATTCATATTCTTGTATTAAAATTATCACCTCCCGATGTTATATTCTGAAGATTATTCATGTTCCTAAAAAAATGTTGTTCAAAATATTGAATTTGAAAATGCGTCATTATGAATGCAGCTTCATACTGTTGAATCGCTTTAGATGACTTATGTATGCATAATGTAGATGATTAATGCGAAACATCTACAGGGCACCTCGACACTCAGTATAATAGGTATATTACTTACATACAGAGGTCTGTTTACCTATGTAGTGTCAGTAAGTGTACCATCGAACTCCTGGACAAAATTATGTGTACATGTATGGGGCACAGAAAGGGGACTGTCAAATCTGATATAAGGGGAAAAACACCCACGTATTTTGAAGCTTTGCCGGGTTTATATAATTTATTTCTCACTCTTGTTCTGCTAATAGTGATGCACACAGTCATTTACACCGGTACAGTGTCCTATATCTACCTGGACAGACATCGACTAACAAGGGTCCTGGTCTCTTTTGGAGACAAATTAAACTAAAACAAGATACATAACTAGACTAATTGAACTAAAACAAGGTACATAAATAAACAAATTGTACTAATACAAGATACATAACTAAACCAATTGAACTAAAACAAGATACATAACTAGACAAATTGAACTAAAACAAGATACATAACAAGACAAATCGAACTAAAACAAGATACATAACTAGACAAATTGAACTAAAACAAGGTACATAAATAAACAAATTGTACTAATACAAGATACATAACTAAACCAATTGAACTAAAACAAGATACATAACTAGACAAATTGAACTAAAACAAGATACATAACAAGACAAATCGAACTAAAACAAGATACATAACTAGACAAATCGAACTTAAACAAGTTACATAACTAGATAAATTGAACTTAAACAAGATACATAACTAATCAAATTGAACTAAAACAAGATACATAACAAGACAAATTGAACTAAAACAAGTTACATAACTAGAAAAATTGAACTAAAACAAGATACATAACTAGATAAATTGAACTAAAACAAGATACATAACTAGATAAATTGAACTAAAACAAGATACATAACTAATCAAATTGAACTAAAACAAGATACATAAAAAGACAAATTGAACTAAAACAAGATACATAACAAGACAAATCGAACTAAAACAAGATACATAACTAGACAAATCGAACTTAAACAAGTTACATAACTAGATAAATTGAACTAAAACAAGATACATAACTAAACAAATTGAACTAAAACAAGATACAAAATGTACATAACTAGATAAATTGAACTAAAACAAGATACATAACTAGAAAAATTGAACTAAAACAAGATACATAACTAGACAAATTGAACTAAAACAAGATGTACGATTACAGAAATCGGACGAGAACAGAATACATAAAAAAAGCCTGACAGGTCGAACTTAAATACGATACATATACCGAACTAGTCAATATACAAGGACCATAATATGATGCCTAGTGATATGGCGAATCACAAGACTTGCTAAAGAGTACAGACAAAATTAAAACACTCGGACGTATACTATGTTTTAGAGTATGCTCTTCTATTTAGACCTTGAATACTTTGTTTTGATCGGTCGATGAATAGCTTTATATAAGTTAAGGTAAATTCACAGACGTTATAATGAGATTGCCCTAGCCTCGCCACAGAATGATCCTATTTCAAATGTACCTGTCTACAACCCGACTGAGACTGCACCCTTTTTGTTAAATGTTTGAGACGTTTTGAAAGTAGTGAATGCTTATTTAAAAGGGTATACATCGTTCATTGTACAACCGAACTAGTTGCAACGCCTATGGAGATATCGGATATCAGTAATTCAGACATATTTTATGGAACGTCGGTTGTTGACACATAAAAGGAGGGGGGGACACACAGGCAGCACCGACGCCCCATAGCACGGACGTGCGTTGTGATATGGGTCGTTTAACAGTTAAAGCAATGTCGATAATGTTTAAATAGGCGAAATAAAGCATTGTTTCTTATACTTGGTAAGACCGATGTGAACTTCTAAATTTTATGTTATTGATTGATTTATTCTTCATTTTTTATCTATCACTCTATCAAAAATTCAAATACTTAAAATCCCAAACCGGACCTCGTTTCTTTCTTTTAACAAGGTTGACTTTGAGTTCGCAGTTCTACGTTAATTTATCCTCCGACCCAGTTGGTGTTGCTTTACTAAGAGTGTGGCAGTATTTGCACCCTCTATGAGTTTTTTAGGTTTTAGCTGCCGTCAGTCACAGCGTGAAAAAAAAAGTCTCGCTATTTTCTCATCATCAGTGTTACTGTGATGTTGGCTATCGTCTGACAGGTGAAGAGGATGAAATTTTCTATGAGCAGACGAGTTATTAGCAGGACCTACTGACTCACATTATCAAGCCTCCCGTTTGTTTATTTCATTGTTGAATATTTTGCCAAAACAAATGAATAAAATACATTAGGCTATTTTCCTTGAAAATAAATAGATAGAAATATATAAAAACAGTGGCACGGATCATAACATTATAGTCAACTGAGAATGAGTAAAAATACTGTAAAACGTGAGCATCTTTATTATTACTGCTCATTATAATTTAACAAGGG